TTCATAACCAGATAAGTATCAGCTTAAATTACTTTCAAAACATTTCATACATCGACGATATTCGTCTTGATTTGAGTCGCAAAAGTTCCAGGTGCAGACTTTAGATATTGTTTATCTACCTCGTAAAGCATGGGAACACATAAAATTCCTGTGTCTTGTAACAAAACAGAATATTGTACCAAATCGAGTAAATTTTTACACTAGTTGACAAAACTTAACGCAATTTCAGATTGTTGCTCTCTAGAAAACCTAAATTTATTGATCAGTCTGCACAAATTTTACTTGGAAATTAGTCAAAATGTGTTCTTCGACTGACAACAAAAAATCATAGATAACTTATCTAAAAGTCTCATGTTCTAATTTGAAGCAGTAACCAATTTTTCCGGGTCTGAAAAAGCCAGTTTTCATCAAATGTATGAAGACTCGTGGATAAAAATAAACATCTACTTTCAGTACAGTTGATTATTTTTTCAATTTTTTCGCTAAAACGGTTTCACGTCGCATGAAAATTTTTTTTTACTCCGCCTTTTTGTGAAAGAGTTCAACTCGTTGTTTTTTCGCTGCAAATGGTGAAACCGGCGTCGAAACCCGAAAAAAAAAATCGAAACGCAATTTTGAAATCTACTTGGAGGGCACCTTTGATCATTTACTTTGGGTTTTTGTAAAATTACATTTTTCGTTTTGTAAAATTACGCCTGAAAGTTATTCAAAATCATGTTTGAAAACATGTATTTAAAAAAACATGAATTCGCGCATAATTTTGTTGACAAGCATATCAATCGGTCTTGCTGGCTCATGATGTCCCATCGAACAAGTTTTCGGGATTTTTTTTCCCAACAAGCTTTTCCGCGATAAAAGTTTAGACATTCCCCAATATGGTGCAGTTGCCGTGCAATGAGGCCAGTAATTGGTTGAGAATTGTTTTGGTGACCTTTAATGGAAAACTTGTTAATTGGTAATTGCTAATAAACTTCGGTGATATTTTTGCCTAACCGAAAAAATTTGGATCTCAAGGGGTCATCACTTCATAACAGTGTTTAGTACGCCAAAGAAAAAATCAAATTAGCTACCAATACCCAAGAACAAACCAAAATTTTGAGCTTGACTGGATGCATAAAAATGATTGATAACTATATAGATAATCAAAAATTTGTCAAATGTTCACTCATTTTTGATTTCCTTGAGCCTGCGCCAAAGGAAAACTGCATTGCCCTTGATTGGAACTTTTGATAATAATCTACAAGTTTGTTAGAAATACAAGTCTTTGCTATAAATCTATATCTCACCTTTTGCTTAAAATGTGTCCAAAACTCAATGTTGAAATTGTATGTAGAAAACCATGAATGTCATGCAGTTGTAGCTACTTCAAATAGGTTTTCGATTCCATTTTTTGTCTTAATCTTTTTAAAGCTTCGAGGTGACAAGCGTTATGTAAAAATTGCCGAAAAAATCACTAGCGATATCGTTAATTATTTCAAATCAAACACTCGCAGTATGATATCTAGTTTTTTAGAGTTAGACTCAACAATTTGAGAATCAAGAGGGTTACCCTCATCCAGTTTCAAGCGTTAGTAGTCGATTATAATATAATTTTAATACCAGTCTTTCAAAAATGTAGAAAAATTTGATGTTGTTCAATAACTAATCGGATATAATCTCTCTTTTTGAAATCAAACTTAATATATTGTAATGGGTTATAATAGAATTTTTATCCGAGTTCCTATTTCATTTGTTTTCCAGAAAAAGCCATTATAATCGATTATAATTGTTTTCAGTCTCTTTTGTTTGCCATTTAGATTTCGATTTTGCAAATGAAATTCGTGTATTTTATGTTCTTTGTAGACGTTGGTTTATGTGAAAAAATGGGAAGCTGTTTTACAGTTTTTAAATCACTTCAATGTTATTACGTTTTCATTTTTTCAATTTTTCTTGACTATAATTGTTTCATGATGTGCAATTTGAGTTTTTTGACACGCAAAATATCATCACACTACTTTAGTAAGTCAATGATTGATATAAAACAGTTTTATATCACCTACCGCGGGATTCTTTCAACTAATATGAAGGGATCTCTATGAAACTTCTGATCCGTTGTAAAACGTTTTGTTCAGATGAACCAAAAAGACGACAAGACATTTCGTTTGTTTTTGACAGAAAAGGTAATTGATTGTACAACACTAGGCCAAACTGTGCACTGGATAGGGACACAATTTTGTGTCACAGAATTTAATGTGAATAAAGATGAAACTAAGTCCCGTTTACGCTGTATTTCACACGTGCAATATCTCAACTTGTTTTTCTCGACTCTGGTAGGTTTCTTCTAAGGCTTGCCTGCAACCCGTTTCTTCTCTCACCTTTCTTAATGATGAAACACAAATTGCCTGACAAAGAAGTGCTTGTCCACACGCGGGCGAATATGATCCTCTTTGGCCTCTTAATGCAATAGATTCAAAGACATTATAGGAGATTTTTAAAAATGTTATCATTATAATGGCTTATAAATTGTTTAAGCATCTAATTTTGTCGCTTTTAATTGATTATAAGTTTGATAAAATTACAATTAGAATTGTAATATAATTGATTATTTTCTCTTTTTTACTGAGTGCGGGTAGCTCTAAAAGATGCCTTACAGCTAGTTCACTTGAACAAGCCACTTGATAAAAAAACAGTCCATCATTTTAATCCACCAAAAAATTACAAAACAGAGGGCTAGAATTATTATTGTCTTTCTTTAACGCAAAGAAAATGAACAGTTTCTTGCTGCTATCATACCGAATCAATAAAAGAAATTTTTTTTTGCAAGGCAGCAGTACATATGGGATAGAGCCTGAGATCTTTTAAAATTTTCTTAACCTGTTGTAACATGACGTTCAAATAGTTTTTTTTACAATACCAGCATGCATCAAAAGCTTGGGAAACCTAACTGAGACAAAAATTGCAACAAAAAATATTGCTGATTATTTTTCAAAATTGTGATGGTCTCATTTATTTGCAATACCTGCAAAACGAAAGGATGCCCAGGTTTCAAAATGGTCTCCCGTTTTTCGAGGAGGGAAAGACTTAAATGTGGGGAATGGAAGAGGTTCGTTCTCCAGTTTTCTCTACCACCGCCCACTTTTACCACCCCCAGGGTGACGCGGGACGGTAAACAAGAGCTTTAGAATAAACTAGTGGAAGAGGTGACAAGAATGGAGAAAGAAAATTTCAGGAATTGGTGCAAATTTCGCAATTAGTTTTGCAATAAAACTCTAGGTTTTAAAACCCATTATATGATTCAAACAGATTATTTTCCATTACAGCGGTTGTTATGGAGTTTATTGATAATCATGGCAACAAAATATTTTTCATCGTCTAAATTTGCAAAAAAAAGGATTTTAAGATCATTTTTACATGAATTGTTTTCACTATATTCCATTATTATCCATGAAATCCTGTTGCTGGAGGTCCAGTTGAAAACTAGCAGATTTTATGCGGTATTTTAACATCCAGCAAACTTTAGCATAGTGTAAATAGAAATACTATTGTGATGAGGATATTTAATGTTAATAAAAATTGGTGGATGCTTCCGTTTGAAAAAGTCAAAATTTGTTACAAAAAAGGAGCTTTTTCTAAAAAGAAAAAGGTAAGATATTAGTTTTTTTTTTAAAATTGCAAGAGAACAACTTAACTACAAAACTTTTCAAAAAAATTGTCATGTTTAAAAAGAAAAGGTTTGTAACCAGTTTGAAAGTTCTCAGTTTTCCCAAAAGTTAAAATCGAAGGCCAACTAACGCGTTTGCGTAGACGAGTGGCTTACCTTAAGAGGATTCGAAATTAAACATGCCGCCAAAGACTAAGTTTCAGCGCTTTGAGGAAAGCTTTGACAAAAGTTAGTGTTTTTAATGCCCTCAACAATAACAATTTTAGGGTCGGTCAGCTAAGTATGGATTTCAATCAGTAATGCCATACAGGGGTAAAAACTTCCATTAGTTGTTTAATTTCATGTTTATCCTAAAAAGTTTATTCGTGATGCTTAATTTTAGCTTGATTAGTCATAATTTGTGTACCCGTACCGAAGCGAAGCTGTTTTTCTAGATAGAAATTCTATGTAGATTATCTCACCAAATTTTCCCGTTTTTTCTGTACAGAAATTTCTTATTTCTTATCTAAGGTTAGAAATAAACTATTTCTATTCTGAAAAATTAAAAAAAAATCGATTTTTCTAAACCAAATTTTCGAAAGTCCACTTCAAGTTTTGTCACGTGTCTTGTTTTTACAGAAATATTTGTTTTTTTTCAAGACAACAATACCTCATGCTGTTTGGTAGCGATCTTCCAGATTGATCAGTTTCACCTACACGTCACTACATTTTTTGCCTTTTTGATTTTTTGTCACAAGTTTGAGCCTTGTTGATTTGCGAACTAATAGCATCTTTAGAGTTTTGGCTTGCTAATTCAGTAGTTTTCTCCTTCTTTGAATTGTTCTCTGGATCGCTGACTGAAAGATGCAATTGAGCCGAATTTGCGGCCTGGGAATTGTTCAATGAGCACTCTGCTTTGTAGTCTTGGGTCTTGGACTGTCATCGGAGCCAAAACTTCTATGTACTGTTCCAAAGAGCAGATAGTTCCACAGCCAGGAACGTTTTGAGCTATTTCAGTTACTGTATTAATAGCACACTTGGTTGGCTACATTTCAAAATTTTATATCCTTTGTTTTTTCTCGCTATTTATTTGGTCCATTGAAATTGGTGAAATCAAATAAACGGATTTTTTGAATGGATTCTTTGTTGGTATTTTCCTGAATGTTTCTCATCTAATAACTCTCAATAACGAGATGTGTTCCTAAAGTTGTTCAAAAAGGTGATTTCATTGATCGAATGCGATGAAAATTTCATTGTTCAACACAGCAATCAAAAGGAGTTTTCGGGAAAACTCAGATGGTGCAACTAAACGGAACTAGCTTTTTCACTGTGCATAAAATCGGGACTGGCATGCACGTACCCGTTTTGTTTTATAATGAATATGAATAATGAACTTCAGATTGGTCTGCTGACGAAGAGGAGTCTGAAGAATGGCGACTTGCATCCTGGACTCTACTGGTTCAGACTCCTAGTCTACATTCTTCTAAAAATTATAGTCGGTTAGGAGTTCTATTGACAAGCGTATTTTCAAATATAAATGAATGTGTTTCCATTTTTTCAATTATTCAAGAAATTGTTTTTTCCTTACGAACGAGTTTAAAAACACTTTTTGTTTTCGATCTGCAATCACTTTTCATTCATCAGACGGAGCGCAGTATGGAGCACCTAATTATATTCTTCCACTCGGTGGGATCAAATTGGCAATTGCTTTCAAAAAACGATCTAAAAAATTAAACATGAAAAACAAAACTTAGAAATTTAAAAGCGTTTTCCTCACATTAGGTTGAAATTGGGTGAAAAACGATGACAGGAAAATTTTGCTTTTAATCATTATGGTAGTTTATGGCTCGTTTTAGCCAAAAATTACGCCATAAATACCAGATGATTGCTTAAAAAAGTGAGTCTTTGATGTAGTTAACACCTTTTAACAGGGTTAAGATCTTAAAACATTTGTATTAACAATTTATTTTTGTTGACACGAAAGCGAGGCAGAGCTTCGCACCACTTGCGATTCACAACAATCACAAAAAAAAGCTGCCGATTCAAAAAAAATATTAAAAACGTTGAAAAAAATAGATGAACAAAAATTTTCGTAAGTGTCGATGATGTACACCTAGAGCCCAATTAAATCCAGAGGCACGTGTTTGATGTTTTCTGACTTTTTAATATTGAAACGGGATGAATTGCGTAATTTAAAGAATGGACATTCCCCAAAATCTTAGTTGTTTCTCTACTAAATTAAGTGAGAGTGAAACCTTTTGAGATTTTTGAACTTTCCCAAAAACATAACCTTTCTCAAGCAAAAAATAAAAAAAGCAAGGAGAAGCCGATTTTGCAGGAAACAATTGGGCAACCGCTTTTTTTGATTGAAATAGTCATCTCAGATTTGAATTTTTGAAGATGGTAGTTTTTAAGAAAATTTTACGAACTTTACGAAGTTTACAAACTTTACGAAGTAGAAAAAAGGACGACCGTTTTTGAACAGCGACCAGTTGAGCCGAAAAAAAATGATTTCATTGTTCAACACAGCAATCAAAAGGAGTTTTCGGGAAAACCCAGATGGTACAACTAAACGGAACTAGCTTTTTCACTGTGCATAAAATCGTGAAAAATCGGGACTTGCATGCACGTACTCGTTTTGTTTTATAATGAATATGAATAATGAACTTCAGATTGGTCTGCCGACGAAAAGGAGTCTGAAGAATGGCATCTTGCATCCAGGACTTTACTGGTTCAGACTCCTAGTCTACATTCTTCTAAATATTATAGTCGGTTAGGAGTTCTATTGACAAGCGTATTTTCAAATATAAATGAATGTGTTTCCATTTTTTCAATTATTCAAGAAAATATTTTTTTCTTACGAACGAGTTTAAAAACACTTTTTGTTTTCGATCTGCGATCACTTTTCATTAATCAGACGGCGCGCAGCATGGAGCACCTAATTATTTTCTTCCACTCGGTGGGATCAAAATGGCAATTGCTTTCAAAAAACGATCAAAAAAATTAAACATGACAAACAAAACTTGAAAATTTAAAAGCGTTTTCCTCACATTAGGTTGAAATTGGGTGAAAAACGATGACAGGAAAATTTTGCTTTTAATCATTATGGTAGTTTATGGCTCGTTTTTGCCAAAAATTACGCCATAAATACCAGATGATTGCTTAAAAAAGTGAGTCTTTGATGTAGTTAACACCTTTTAACAGGGTTAAGATCTTAAAACATTTGTATTAACAATTTATTTTTGTTGACACGAAAGCGAGGCAGAGCTTCGCACCACTTGCGATTCACAACAATCACAAAAAAAAGCTGCCGATTCAAAAAAAATATTAAAAACATTGAAAAAAATAGATGAACAAAAATTTTCGTAAGTGTCGATGATGTACACCTAGAGCCCAATTAAATCTAGAGGCACGTGTCTGATGTTTTCTGACTTTTTAATATTGAAACGGGATGAAATGCGTAATTTAAAGTATGGACCTTCCCCAAAATCTTGGTTGTTTCTCTACTAAATTAAGTGAGAGTGAAACCTATTGAGATTTTTGAACTTTCCCAAAAACATAACCTTTCTCAAGCAAAAAATAAAAAAAGCAAGGAGAAGCCGATTTTGCAGGAAACAATTGGGCAACCGCTTTTTTTGAATGAAATAGTCATCTCAGATTTGTAGTTTTGTAGATGGTAGTTTTTAAGAAAATTTTACGAGCTTTACGAAGTTTACAAACTTTACGAAGTGGAAAAAAGGACGACAGTTTTTGAACAGAGACCAGTTGAGCCGAAAAAAACTGATTTTGTCACAAAAAACTTTTAGAAGTATCAAGTTTTCAGTGAAACATCACCTTGTAGTAACTAGAACTCACCACGTAGTTGAACTTGAATTTTCATAAAATTCGGCACGTCAGCTGAATAGCAGCATCAGCTCTTCATTGCAGGTTGAAGGTTTTTCAGACTCTTAAATAGGCCGTGATGGTTTTTACGATATAAAATACCATATTTTATTCAATAATTATTTCAAAATCTTTGAACAAAACTCTGGAATTTACATCGCTCCTAAATTTTGTTGGCCTCGTAAGCAGCGCACTTGAAAACAATTTTGTCCGAAATTGATTCGGTGGTTCTAGCCTAATATTTGGTTGACTAAAACAATTTCGTAAACAAAGTGCACCATAAAATGCGTGCTATAAAGTATTAAGCAATTAAGGTCTCCATCAATTTTCACGAAGCTTCAACCCATTTTGGAAGAAGGCGTTTTTTAACTTCAAACTTCAGGCGTTTTGTCCGAACAATTTCAATCAGCATTATACTATTAAAATTTGATAATCAATGCGCGACGAAAAAAGTCCTTTTAAATAACAGCACTTCCAATTTAAGCTGAGACTTGCTTAGACTCGTATTATTGCGTTAATCACGCAAAGTTTATCAATTCTTCTGGTACATAACCTACATGAAACTGTTTTTGAAATGTTTACAACTTTTCTACACATTTTTAATCAGTATTTTAAACCAAAAACTTGTGCATCGATGCTATAGGGTAGTCAAAATATTCAAGTGATTTTTCTGGTACGGACACTTTCAATTATTTATGGCAAGTCTTGCGTGTTCAACTGGTCTATAATTAAAATGAAAAATCAGATTTTGAAAAGATATATAATTCAAAAAGTTTTTTTTTCTAAAAAATGCAGACGGTTTTTGAAAGTTGACAATTTATATTAATGGGCACAATTCGCGCAATATATTTTTTTCTGTTATCAAGTGAGCAGCATTTTTAATCAGGTTCAGATATCGTCCACATTTGAAGCCAGCACTTGGAATTACAAATGAGTTGCTAGACGATACTTACATCATTTGGTACTTAACGTAGCTTGTAAAAGAAACTTTCAACAAACATCAGAAAACCTTTTTTAAAAATGACTGAAGGTAATTCAGACTGTTATGGGGTTGTGAATATGTTTTTTTGTTACTCAGGATAATTCATAAATTCTGAATTTGTTCAGGCTCAAATTGATTTTTTGCTGTTTGACTTATGACTACTTTTCATATACTTTGTTCGAAGACCAGCTCATATGATTTGTCAAAAGGAAGGCAAAACAACTATCTAACAACAAAAAGTTGAAAGTCACAATAAATTTTACAGATTTCTAGTTTTAAGCACGGAATTTAATTTTCAGATTTCTCAGTGCAATAAAAGAAATATCAATTGGTCCAGTTTTCTCAAATCGGGTTAGCTTTATCATAAAAGTGTAAGCAAGATTTTTAAGAACTGTTAGAAAATGCAGTGTTTTGACCTGATACCGGCAGATACGTATGAATCTTAAAAAACGAAGAGTTTCATCAATTATTTAGGTGCTTTTATTTTTTTTCCAAGAAAAAAAGATTCTAGGTTGTTTAAGCTCAAACCTCTTTTTTTCCCAGTTTGACTGCTCAAAGTTTATATTCAAATTGTCATCGGAAGTCAGACCGTAAATTGATTGAAGCTTCGTTGAAACTCACGTTTTACCTTCAAAAGGGTATAATTAAATATTTCACAGAAATTTTAAGATTTACGCATTGATTCTACGAATTTTGAGTCTCAACGATTGTAATGAAAAGGCTTTCGTAGATCAATTTGATGTTTTTTTCTTTTTTAGGTTGCATCATTAAATTTTTCATATGCCAAATAATATCTCTTGCGGATTCACGTTTCATTTCAGATATTATGCGCAAAACGTGAAAAACTTGTATTTAATTTTCAGAGTTCTTAACAAAGTAAAATTTTTCTTGTTACACAAAAAACGCTTTCTTAATTTTTTAAAATTTTTATCCAAAAGATACAACTCATCAGTTTTCCTTAAAATCAAAGAATTTTAAGACTAGATATTTTTCATTTAAAATTTGAAGTTTTTTTAAAAAAAAGTAAGTTATTAAATTTTCTCACTCTCATTGTCTATATTGCCGGGTTGACTTCATAAAAGAAAAATGCTTATCATACAATTTCATATATGGCGACTGTGGAATACAAAGTTTAAAAACTGTATTAAACGTTTTCTTAGAAATACATCTGTTCTATTTCCACTCTTTTTGAATCTTTCTGCTCAATAAAAAATTTTAATTTTGGTCAAGATTTTAATTTTGGTCAAAAAAATGCTTATCATAATTTTTTCAAATATGAAAATTGTAGGATATGCATGTCTTCAAAAGCAAAAACACAAATTTGAGGTAAAAGTGTTTTAGTACCTTTTTTGGTTGCAAACTTGCTTTTGTGCTCATATATAAATTCTTGCGAAAAAAAAATTTTGCATGCAAATTTTGACTTTTTGAGTTTATAACGTAGTCCAGGATGATTTTTTCACCCAAAAATCTCAAAACCACTTTAAGTGTTTTTTTTTTGTAAACACGATTAGTCATATTTTATTTGCTAAGATAAAAATAAAATTGTAAAAAAAACCGGCTTTTTTTCAACTACCATAATGTTTAAAAACAAAAGTATCTAGCCATATGCAGAAAGATACATTTTTGGTAAATAATTCCATGTAATAATTAAAAATAGGTGGCAAAAATCACCAAATGCAGTTTATCTGCGTGCTAACTGCCATTTACACTCAGAGTTTTTTTTATGACAAAAAGTCCAGGGTTAGTGTTCTGGATGAAAGACAAAATTCCAAACAACTACTTTAATGTATTTTCATTTATGGAAAAAATGCTTGTAATACAATTTCACAGTATGGAAAAATTGCCTATCATAATATTTCAAAGTAGGGAAAAAATTTTCATAGTATAAATTTCAAAGTTGCATGTTAATTTCATAGTATGTTTTTTTGGTCTATGAAAATGTATGAAACAGTATGATAAGCATTTTTTCATACTATGAAATAGTATGAGAAGCATTTTTGTCGACCCGGGTTCCTACTCTTTTGGCTACGTTTTCAAATCAAATGAGTTACGTTTGATCAAAAAACGCTTTCTGAGTAGTTTTTGTTTCCCAAAGTTCATGAAAAATCACTATTTTTGTCATTTTATATTTGCGTTTAGCCATAACCGAAATTATCATAACAAACACCAATTCAAGCCAGCCTCTGAAAGAAATCAAAAATTTGTGAACCAATTAGTATTGCGTACCTAGGTAATGAGCCATAAATGATCACATTTAAGGTTTTTCAGGCACGACGTTTCTTCGAACGAACAAAGATATAACGGATGACATTACGATGAAGATGATGTACTTTGTGCTGTGCTACGTGGTCATTCTAGCAATCTCCGCTGTCCCATTTTTAATCGTTATGCGACCAGTTTTCCTCAAAGTATGACACTCCAATTTCTTATATTACAAGAGTTCTTATTAGAAATTTTTGCAAAAGATAATTTTTCAAATTCACTTCCCGAACAAAGATAAAGTTGGAACCAACTACTCACAAATTTCATTTCATTTATTGTACCGACTTTCGATACGAAATTAACGGAATATTTGTGCTCGGAGTGCTCGGTAGAAATTTCGATTTTTAACTAGCCATTTTTGACGGAATTTTTTATACATTCGGAAGGCATTGTTGTACTGAGATTGAATTTGAAAAGATAGTTCCACCATTGATCATTTTTGTAAAGTAAAGATAGCTATTTTGGCCAATTTGGGACAATTAACGCGCGATATATTTCGCGCTCCTAACGCGTAAGCGGATTTTAATCCATCTTAGAAGTCGTTTCAAATCAGTGCGTCTCTAAATCCAAATTTGAAACAAAAGTGCCCGTATCAGGGCGAATTCCTGAAGTTTCCGACTGCCTTGTAAGGTTTATGGAGCACTCATGAAAAAAGATTCAATATAATAAAATAGAAGGAAATTTTTTTCTCTAAAATTTAAATAAGCTTCCATTCGCAATAATTGATTTGTTACAAAGAACGAAGTATATCCTTTTGTACTTTATATGGCGTGTGTGTGGGGGGGGGGGTAGATTTTTTTAAAATAAATTAATTTTTTTTGTTATATTGAATCTTTTTTAATGATGTTAATGCTCCATAAACATTAAAAAGCAGTCGGAAACTTCAGGGCTTTGCCCTGATACGAACAATTTATTTCAAATTTGGATTAAGAAACGCACAGAGTGAAAACATTTTTGATCAGTTTTTTTGGACTGACACCAAGTCAATCAACGAAAGGAAGACACTGATTGTTTGTTCTCCTTTCTTATGGTTTTCTCTTTTGTTAATTTCATCTAGGGAAAAGTTCCTAGTAAACGCCTTTCAGTGAATTAACGCCTTTCAGTGAATTTAATTTAACAAAGTGAAAATTTTGAGAAGAAACAAAAATGACAGTTTTTGTTAAGAGTCGACGAACTTTGTTCACAGACTTTTATATAGATCGTGATGACTTTTTTTTTCGTTTTGTTGTCATAAAAAGTCTTAAATTTTTTTGGCCTTTTTAGACTCAGGACTTTTTGGCTTTTTTCGCGGTGACTTTTCTTATGTTTTTAAGTTCCATTTGATTTTTTTGTTAAGAGGAAGATAACAAACTCCTTTCTAAAACTGCAAACGGCCAGGAAAAACGTGATCGACCTGTAGTTTTAGATGGAATTTTTCTTTTCAATTTTTGCAGCGAAACAAGAAAAATTACCTATTTATCCATTTATCTCAAACTGGGGTAGTTTTATCAGCGAAGTGCCAATCATAACATGTTCCAAAAATTCGAAGAACTTGAAGGCTATCAATTTGATATTTTTCAAAAAAAAAACAAATCAACAGAAAACAAACAAAAAACACGCAACAGAAAACAAACAAATTTGACTATTTTTTTTAAATTGTCTACACTGGCTACTGGGTCTGTTTCCATTTCAATTTTGCTTGCAATATGAGACGCAACTAAGACTTTCAGTAGAAAAGGTGCCAACTACTCAGCAAATTGTGATTTATTGTTATTTTTGTTTTATTTTGGCAAAAGTTTTTTTGAGACGCAACTAAGACGTTCAGTAGAAAAGGTGCCAACTACGCGGTAAATAGTGATTTAATGTTATATTTGTTTTTTGGCAGTATTTTTTTGAGATGCAACTAAGACGTTCAGTAGAAGAGGTGCTAACTACGCAGTAAATTGTGATTTATTGTTATGTTTTTTTGGCATTACTTTTTTTATTTGAATTTAAAATTCAGAAGGAAAGTTATCTCCACTATCGTAAAAATTACAAAAAACATGATTGGTTTCTAAATTTGAAAATGGAATTTGATTATCAGAATTCCCAGCAAAAACATACTAATTGATCCAGTTTTCTTAAATTGGAATAATTTTATCATAAAAGTGTTAATCATAAATTGTTATAGAAATTCAAAGAAATTCAAAGCCATCTACTGTTTTTAAGGATAATCCCAAATTAAAGATGTTGAAATTCCCAAGTTGAAATTTAAAGAAATCTTCTGTAATTTTTTCTGCTCACTTGCGTTACTTGACTCTTTTTCAACTCTCTGCTGGCTGTGTTCAAAGACTGCTGTGTTCAAAGATGTTTATTGTATTTTTATCTTCTCATTTGTTTTTTGAAAAGTTTCAAACAAAACTGCTCGTATCAAGGCAATGTTCCGACTGCCTTTTAAGGTTTATGGAGCAGTAATAACATTAAAAAATTGAGTTAATGAAAACAAAATGAAAGTTTTTTTTTGAAAATTTGAAATTTTTCATGAAAATCATCCACCTACACGCCATATAAAGTACAAAAGAAATAGATTTTGCTCCTTGTGACAAATCAATTATGGCAAAAAAGCTTCGTACAACCAAATTTTGAAGATTTCTAAGACGAATTAACTCTCCGCTTACGCGTTAACAGCGCGAAATAAATTGCGCGTTAATTGGCATAATTTGGCCAAAATGACAATCGTTAAACCCCCGTAAATTTAAGACAAAAAATCAAAAGTGAAATATTTTTTCAAATTTGAGCTCAGGACAACAATACCTTTCGAACGATTTTTAAAAATTCCGTCAAAATTGGCTGGTTAAAAAGTCGAAATTTGCCTGAAGAAAAAAAACTCACCCCGAGCATAATTATTCCGTTGCTTTCGTATCGAAAGTCGGAACAATAACCTCATATTTCTTGGGACAAATCAGGGCAAACTAATTTGAAGCACGAGTAGAAATGTGAAAGAAAGTAAGCTATTTTAATGATGTATGGTGTTAACAGGAAATATCCAATGGTTTAATTGACACGGGGCAGTATGTCATCGCAACGTTTATAGGTAAGAATTTTATGCCATCGCCGTTATACTTTTTAAGCAAATATATTGTTTTGGAAACATATTAGCTAAATGGGAAACCAAAATCAACCGTAACACACATTTCGAGCTGACAAGTCGCAATGCTTTCAATTTTTTTAGACACTTACTGTGTTCGCAAAACTAAAACACTCTGTAAAACTTTCGAACCGTACAGTTTTTTGAGTGTTAATGAAAAAATTAAATATATATTTTTTGATTCATGTGTTTTTTTAATTATTTTTTCTTCACACTAAAAAATTTTTTGTCGATTAAACTTTTGTAATTTTTTTTGAGTGCGGGCTATTTTGTGCATATGCAACTTTACATCGACCACATTTTAGGATAAAATTGTCCGCTCTCCTAAAGCCGGAATTTAAAAAACGAATGACTTTTTCTGATCCCTAGGCAGAAATTAGACGCGACTTGAATATTTGCAGGCATGATACCTGGTGTGTTGGTGATTTCTCTTGTGACGTCACTCATGATTGTGTACATGCCAGATGTAAATGGGTTCGGTATCTTCTTCGTCACCACCTCCCTCGTCCTCATGAATGCAGAGTCCTTCATGTACATGATGTCCACATTCACAGACGAGCACGTGACTGCCACTGCCATGGCGGCCGCCTTCTTCGGCACATTCTTGATATGTTGTGGATTCCTTCTACAGAAAAGCGTGAGTGACACAGCACAGGTTTTTACCCTCCCCCCATGCAATTTTAGAAAAAAATTTAGAAAACTTTATCGACCTTTTTTTAGGTCGACCGAATAGATTTTTGAAATAAGGCCAAAAAAGCGTTTTTATGCAATTAGGGGAAAATTTGGACCAAAAAATCGAGTTTTTTCGGCGCGCGCTCCCCCCTTAAAATTAGTATATATTGGCGCCAAAGGCGCCCTTAAACTAATTTTAAGATCAGTCAGCCAAAAATGGATATCGGCAGGGGTCGATTACCTGAAAAGAGGGCGTCCCCCAGCCCCTTTAATCCGCTACTATAAAAGAGAATAGGCATCGTCACCTCTTCCCTTTGATTGACTAGTTTTGCGATCACCTCATCCCGGATTACTGGATATGGATGAACTATCTAGCCTTCCACACATATGCACAGAGAGCCTACATATACACTCATCTGGACGGAGTGGATGGGAACAAGACCGATGAAGCGATTGCGAAGCATCTTCTGCAAGAGATTGACATGGATGACGTGGACATAGGAGTGGAGCTGGGAGTCCTGACCGGATACATGTTCACCGTGTTCTGAATCTTCAAACTGGTGATGCAGTTCAAACACACAGGCAAGAAGTAGACTGAACAATCAGCCGATATATAAAACAACTCTTAATTTGCGACAACAAAAGCAATAGCAATTTTATGATGATTTAAGTGAAACTATAATAAAAACACCCCAAACTTTTGGCACCACGGTTGACACATAAGTGCTATTTCGAAGGATTTGTATAATTTGGTCTTTGACAGCGTTGACTAAGTACTAAAGCCCACTACTTCTAACTGACAAAAAAGTTCAACATAGGCTTTTGATCCACATATGAGCCACATTTCAAAGCTGTTGAAACAAGAGAGCAAAAAGTTTTCACGCTTGTGTCAAGCAGAAGCTTCATTGACAAAACGTTAGGAAAAGTACTTGCTGCAAGTAAATTCACTCAAAAAAAAGTTAAGGTAAATTTACCTTAAAAAATACCTTAAAAAACCTAATAATAAAGGTAAATTTGCACTACCTTAAGTACACCTTAACTTACCTTAAAACACCTTGAAAATTTACCTTAAATCACCTTAAAAGTTAAGGTGTATCAACCTTAAAAAAAACATTAAAAAAATTTTTTATAGGTAAATTTACCTTAAAAATTTACCTTAAAAAAGTAGGTAATTTAACTACATTTACCTTAACATTAAGGTGTTTTTACCTTAAATTTTTACCTTAAGAACACAAAAGTTAAAGTAAAATAACCTTAAATGTTAAGGTAAAAAACCTTAATTCTCTTCCCTTTAAGGTTTTTTTACCTTAACATTTGAGGTTATTTTACCTTAACTTTTGTGTTTTTAAGGTAAAAATTTAAGGTAAAAACACCTTAATGTTAAGGTAAATGTAGTTAAATTACCTACTTTTTTAAGGTAAATTTTTAGGGTAAATTTACCTATAAAAATTTTTTTTAAGGTGTTTTTTAAGGTTGATACACCTTAACTTTTAAGGTGATTTAAGGTAATTTTTTAAGGTGTTTTAAGGTAAGTTAAGGTGTACTTAAGGTAGTGCAAATTTACCTTAACTTTTTAAGGTGTTTTAAGGTACGTTAAGGTAAAAATTCTTGACCTGTTTTTGAGCGCATAAATGAAACAAACAACTTTTAATCCATTTAAATTCTATTGGGGCTCATAATTGCGGTTGATTGCAAAAGCCACAACCAATCAAACTCCCCGAGGATAATTTAAGGCAAAATATGAAGACAGATGGAAATTAGAAACCTATGAAAAAAATTTATTAAGTAGATGTCAGCTCATGTCTTACAGAAGTAAGACACTTCAACAGGACCGCCACGTGAAGGCCTCTACAGTTGGTCCCACGTATGGAACAAGGAAAGGCTCGCTAAAGGTAACAAATTCACATAACAGTTAAGGCTACTGGAAACAAATGTGTTCGCTAATTTACCTCAAAATGAGACATCCAAAAGTTTAACCAGGTAAATTTCCAGTAACCCTTCTTTCCAGTCAAGCACCAAAATTAAATTATTCATTCAAATGATATCACCAACTTGCTAATTTTAACAGCAAAAGAACGTTCCTTTCCCAATTCCTATTCGCAATTATTTAAACAAACACAAAACAATTATACAACATTCAAAAGAATAGCTAATTATGAAACTTGAATTAGAACGAAAAACAAGTGAAAGATTCCGGTTAAATAGGAGGGCAGAGATCTGATTAAAACTTCACATCACAAAATTGAAAAATTATAAACGGAAGATACTCAACCCGAAAAGGTTTCGAGCCTCAACTGTTTATTTGATTAACAAAGTTAGTAGCTATTAAAACCATGGTTAAGCATTGCCCCTGATTGCAAGTAAACCCGAAAAAGTTTCAACTCCAAATCAGAGTCAACTTTAAAGCTACTAACTTCTGGCACATTTGAGAAAACCGAGAGGCCAGAAAAAATTTCAATTTCAAATAAGCAAGCTTGGTTAAATTTAGGGCTTCACGACTAAGTTTATCCATTAAATAGTTAAGTATAAAATAAGAATTAGAATGAACAGTAAGAGAAAGATTCCGGTTAAAGTAAGAGTGAAAAGATCTGGCTCAAACTACACAACACGAACATGCAAAATTACAAACAGTAAGTAGCTATTCAAATCATGGTTAAGCATTGCCCCTGATTGCAAGTAAACCCGAAAAAGTTTCAACTCCAAATCAGAATCAACTTTAAAGCTACTAACTTCTGACACATTTGAAAAAACTGAAAGGCCAGAACAAAACTTCACTTTCAAATAAGCAAGCTTGGTGAATATTAGGGCTTTACGACAAATTTATTCATCAAATGTTTAAGTATTAAATATGAAAGAGAAAAAAACAAGGAAAAGATTCCGGTTAATGTAAGAGGAGAGATCTGGTTTAAACTACACAACATGAACATGAAAAATTATAAACAGAAGATGATCAATCCGAAAAGGTTTCGAACCTCAACTATTTATTCAGAATAACAAAGTTAGTAGCTATTCACATCATGATTATGCCTTGACCCTGATTGCAAGTAAACCCGAAAAGGTTTCAACTCCAATTCAGAGTCAACTCTAAAGCTACTAACTTCTGACACATTTGAGAAAACCGAAAGATCAGAACAAAATTTCCTTTTCAAATTAGCAAGCTTGGTGATTTTTAGGGCTTTAAGACAACTTTATTTATCAAATGGTTAAGTATTAAATATGAAATAGAATGAACAACAAGAGAAAGACTCCGGTTAAAGTAAGAGGGAAGGGATCTGCTTCGAACTACACAACAAAAGCACAAAAATTATACACAGAAGATGATTAAATTGAAAGGATTTTCAACCTCAACTGTTTATTTAGATTAACAAAGTTAGAAGCTATTGAAATTGTAGTTATGCCTTGACAATGAATGAAATGAAACCCGAAAAGGTTTCAACAGCAAATCAGAGTCAATTTCAAAGCTACTGACTTTGGACAGACTTTGAAGTAAGTCACCTTGGCTATTTAAAGGCTTTAAGATTCACTCCAACTTCAAAGCTATTAATTATTATATATGGGTTAGCCTGAACAACATGTGCATGATTCCCCTTAAGTTACGATCGCAAAATATTTCAAGATTACCCGATAATGATTCGACCTCAAACAAGAATCTAACTAATATTTAAAACTGATGCAAATTAGGAGTAAGACCGTAAAGCCCAAAAAAAGATATCAAAAAGATACAATATCAGAAAAATACATATCAGGCTTTAAATTAAAGTACAAATACATGAAACCAAAGAGAGAGAAGCATTTATAAAATTCCGGTTTCAAAAATTATGACAAAGATCCAATTAGGCCTAGAATTTTTTTGAAGACTTTTTTTAAATTTTTTTTGAACGAGCTTTTGAATGGAAGTAGAACAATGGACATTTTTTTTGAATAATTAATCTTTTTGAAGAATTTTTTACGTACATTTTTGATTAAGCATGCAAATTAAATAAGTATAGAGAGACAACAGTCGATTAAGTAACGCCAAAAGTAAGCTTTTTCTAGATTTTGCAAACTTTTGGTCTTTTTGCGAAGTTTTTTGTTCTATCTGGAATATACAATATCAAAAAGATACAAATCAAGCTTTGAAGTTAATCACTAGACAACAAATAACACAAAGTACAAAAACAAAAAAGAAGAGAGAGAAGCATTTAAAAGATTCCAAATACAATAACTATGACAAAGATCCGATTAAGCATAAAAACTTTTATTTTTTTTTATTTTTCAGACGTTTTTTTTTAAATTTGTTTGAAGTAGCTTTTGAATGGAAGAAAAACCGACAATTTTCTAAATTTTTTGAAGAATTTTAAAAGTATTTTTCTTGATTAAAAAAGCAGCGACAACAAACAATTAAAAAACGCCAAAAGTAGTTTTTTAAATTTTGCAAATATATTGTTTTTTATGATTTTTTTGAACCTTTTTGTTTTTTCTTAAGGGAGGCCTGTTCTTGCGATATTTAGATTTCCTTCGTAACAAATTTTTCCCTCATAATTCTACAACAGTTAGCCATTAATTTTGCAAATTTGCCAAAAAATTCCGGTTTCAGATGGTAATGTTCGTCGTCTCTGAAATGACAAGGAGAAATAGAGTTGTTTGGAATAATATCAGAGGCTAAAGACTCCTTCAGTTTTCTGTTGAATGCCTTCACAGCTTCCGCATTATGGTCTTTCCTCGGAAGTAGTTCAACAAATTTGACATACTGCTTTATGTTTAACTCGGGTATATGGTCACGCAAATCTTTATAATATTTAATTAGTTGTGCATTGTCCGTATTATTAAAATCATTATTACCAACTATTATTACAATATATTTAAACCAAACGATTTCTGGATAGATAAATTGAAGGTGTCGCGCGCATCGTCCCGATCTACTGTTTACAGCTAAATTATATTTATTAAAGAGATCGAAGTCTTTCGTAGCATTATATGCGTATTTCATATTAGAATCACCAACAAACAGAATTTTGTCATCCAAAAAATCACTATAATTCACAGTTATAATATAAAACATGTAGTGCAGCATGCTAAAAATTGCATTCTCTTACTGTTCTTTTGGGGATAGTAGTTTAGGTGGGAAGTTAAGTTTTCTTACACTCATAATTTCACTCTAAAAGACAATTCACAATTCAATAGGTGAAGTTTATAACACAAGACGAGCTAATCAGAGCTACAACTGAAAGATTCAAAGTAAGACGCGTAATTATTAAAAACAAGACGATTGCGTAGGACAACGTGAAAAAACGAGCAAGATGCAAGGAAGCAATGATGCAGCGATAGCGGATGAAAATCGAATAATTCTTTATGGCGTACAACTTGAGTGTTATCTTTCTGGTACTGAGTTACTAAAAACGATCTTGAATGGTGCTCATAATGTTCTAATTTGAGTTTCGAGGAAACAAAAAAAAATTGAATCATTGGAGCTTAAAATACGTTTAATTTGACAAAAATTTGGAGTTAAAGGGTCAGCATTTTCCAAGGATAAAATTAGCACATCGTCAACTGAGTATCGGGTACCTTG